TGCGGGGGCTGGGTGGGGGGCACCTCGGGCGGCTCACGGGCAGGTGGGCTGCGGGCAGAGAAGCCGGTGTCGGGCGCCATGTTGAGGTGGATGAGCCGGGTCTGGGGCATCTGGTCGATGTTGATGCTGTACTTGGGCTCCTCCTTGGCCTTGGGACGCAGCGTGGCTGTGGCCGTGGGCAGGATCACATAGCTGGTATCCAGAGCCTTTTCCTGGGCCCGGCTCAGCTCCGAATCCAGCTTCTTGAAGATGTCCCCGTCGCCGATGAAGGAGGCCTTTGCCGCCTTGTCCTTCTTGAGGGTCAGCGAGTGGTTGGGGAAGTCAGGCAGGGGCCCCCCGCCGCCAGGGTAGCGGGGTGAGCCATGCAGGTGCAGCTTGGACACGTTGGCCGGGAGGCTGTTGAAATTGGAGGGTGGTGCCTGCACGTGGGCCAGCTTCAGCTTCTCCTCCTCCGCCGGCAGGGACGGCCGCTTGAGCGTGCCCGTGATGGTGGCCGTGCGGCAGGCCGCGATGTCCTTGTTCAGCACTGCGGGGAGATGGGCAGGGTCAGGCTCGGCCAGGAACCGTCCCCGACGTGTCAGTCTGGTCCTGGCCCTGTGCTGCCACCTCCTGGGGACCTGCAGGTCCTGCTCAGTGCCACCACTGGTGGTCTGGGCACGCGTTCCCCTTGTCTCCTGGCAGCTGGGTGCCTGTCTCCCCAAAGCTGCAACATGGGGCTCCTCTCACTGTGGGGGGTCTCCCTTATATTGGGCAACTGATTCCCTTTTTGCACTTGCTTCCAGGAAGCTCCGCGTCAGCCAGGGGCTCAGAGATGGGTCCTCCTCCCTGCTGTCCTCCTGCTCCCACTGACGTCCCCCAGTCTGAAAGCTCGCTACCGCCACCCCGTGGGGGGAATGAGATGAAGAAATGGAGACAACACGGAATGCCTGGGCCTTGAGGAGGGCAGGCGGGGCGGGGGAGGGCCGCAAGGGTCTGTGGCTGCTTCCGAGGGCTGGGGAACGGCACTCCTTGCGGGGATGTGATTGAGGAGAAGGGGGCAGGACGCGTGGAGAGTTCTAGGAACTCCAGGGGAGCCGGGATGCCCGGCACCTGCCCAGCCAGAGTTCAGGACAGTTTCCGGAGGCTTCTTCTGCTCATGGCCCTTGGACCTGGCTCATTGGGGTTGGGGGTGGAGGCCCAGGCATCAGGGGAGGGGTGGGTGCCAAGGCCGTCCCGTGTCTCCCCCTCAGGCCAGCGCTCCCGGGCAGAGTTCTCTTGGTCCAGGTGGGACACAGGGTGGGATGTGGAACACTGGGTGGGATGAGGACAGATGGATGGACAGACAGACACAGAGAAAAGAGAAAGAAGCAGGTAGGCCCAACAAGGGCCCCCTGTCGCTCTCACCTGTCAGGCGCTCACCTGATCTACAGGCCAGATCCACATCCTTTTCGAAGTCAGTCTGCAAGACAGAGACGGGGGCAGTGAAGGCGGAGAAGAACAGCCTAAAGCAGAGGCCCCCCACTTGGAGGAGGGTGTGTGGTTGCACACTCATGAGTGTAAGGGGCTACACGTGTGTGAGGGCCGAGGTGTTCACACCAAGTCCATGGTGCACATGGGCATCTGTGCCTGTGTGCTCCTGTGTGTCCAGACAGGATCTGGCCTCCCTGCACGTCTGTGCCTAGTGCATGCACGTGTGCGTGTGCATATGCGTGTGTGCGCGTGCACGTGTGCGTGTGCATATGCGTGTGTGCGTGTGCACGTGTGTGTGTGCATATGCGTGTGTGTGCATGCATGTGTGGGTGTGCGCATATGCGTGTGTGTGTGTGCACTGCCTCCACGGGGCTTGTGGATTAGTTGGGAAGTGGAGGCGTCCTAGCCCCAGCAGTGCCCCAGCTCTAAGCCCTGGCCCCCTGGCCTCAAGTACAAAGACTCTGCCCCACCTCTGGGCCCCTCCAATGGAGCAGGGCACACAGTGGGCACCATGCCAGGGCCACCTGTCACAGGGCCACCAACCACCACCGTGTGGGTGTGGAGGGCCTGCCATATGCCACTATCACCACATCCCTGGGGCCACCGTGACCCCGTTGTACAGGGGATGCGGAGGCACCAGGGAGAGGCAAGCAGGGCTTGGACGCAGACCCCAGGGCCTGGGCGGGCCCAGCTGCCCCTTCGAGGACAGACTCAGCCCGTGTCAGGGAGCTCAGCCTGGCTGCAGGTGGGGACTCCCAGGAACGGCCAGGCCTTCATCACACACCTGGCAGCCCTTTCCCTGTAAACAGAGGGGCAGGCTGGTCCTCAGGTAGGGAATCTTGCCCTGGAGGTCAGAAGTCAGGCCTAGGAGAGCTCAGGTGCAGGAGCGGCAAACCTCTCTGCTGAGGCCCTTAGAACCCACCCCGTTTCAGATGGAGAAACCGAGACCCAGAGGGGTTATGGGCCTGGCTGGACACCGTGCGGTGAGCCGGAGGCGCTGCTGGGACAGAGCCAGGACCCGGCCTCCACCCACCACTGGGCCCTGCCCTCACCCCAGGGTGGATGCTGGCATCTGCTGAGCCCCTGCCTGTGACCACAGTGGCTAAGGCGGGGCCTGGCACCGCGTTGAACGGACCCTTCTGCGGGCCAGACCCCTGCGGGCAAGACCCCTTCGGGCCAGACCTGTCGGCCAGACCCCCTGCGGGCCAGTGAGCAATCAGGGGGCAGCAGACAACGTGGACTGAGATAAAGAGCCACAAGGAGCCACTCAGGGCTGTCAGGGCCTGAACGGCTGGCCCTACCAGGAGGGAGTCAGGGAGGGCTCCCCAGAGGTGGTGACATCACAGCGACACCTGCATGGTGGGCAAGTGGGGTTGGGAGGGGGGACTGTGCACGTGGTGTTAGAGGACCAGGACGCTGGTCCAGCGCGGCTCAGGCATGGGGTGAGTGAGGGAGCTGGCTCCAGACAAGGCCAGTGTAGGGCTGGCCAGTCCCCATGGCCTGGGCAGTGGGGGGAGTGAGGGAGGTGGCTGCTACCACCGGGGTGGGGAGCCCTGGGGCCCATGCTGGGGTGGATGTGAGGCAGTGGGCCTGGTGCCCCTGAGGCATGCTGAGTTTGAAGTGCCAGTGGGATCCACTGCTGCTGCAGGAGCTGCTGCTTGCGGGGCCTGAGCAGGGGTGAGCCCACTTTAGGGAGAGTGCGTAGAGCGAGAAGGAAGGGGGGCAGGACCAGGCTGGGGGGGCAGAGATGCAGCAAAGGACACCAAAGAGGGGTCAGGTGGGGAGCTGAGAGGGGTGGTCACCAGAAGGGCCAGGTGAGGGGCCAGTGGGAGGGGCCAGGTAAGGGGCCAGGTGAGGGGCCAGTGGGAAGGGCCAGGTGAGGGGCCAGGTGAGGGGCCAGGGGAGGGGCCAGGGGGGGGGGCCGGGGGAGGGGCCAGGGGAGGGGCCATCGGGAGGGAGTCAGGGGAGGGGCCAGTAGAAGGGGGACAGGCCAAGCTCTGTCAGCGCAGGCTCTGCACGAGGGGCCAGGTGCCAAGGGCAGCAGTGCGCGGTGTGGGGTGGACGCCCGAGGGCTGACCCACCTGGGTAGGAGGCCGTGCAAGCCAGTTCTTTTCCTCGGCTGAGATGGAGGGGTGACGGGGGTGTGGGAAGGCTGGGACACCAGGGGGCTGCTGTGTGGCCGGGGGCACTGCCGGGTGCCAGCACCTGCGCAAACTGGCCAACTCGGCCCCCTCCCAGCCCGAAACCCTGGACCAGGGTTTTCACCTTGGCAAGCCTCAGTTTCCCCAACGGTAAACTGGGCCCAGGGCTCCTCTCTCAGGGCTCCTGGGGCCTCATGCAGCTCCAGGCACAGCAAGGACCCGAAGGCCCCTCGTTGGGGGGGGCAGCGCACATGGTGGGGGGGTGGCCTGCTCCCCAGGGTCCTACCATGAGCTGGGCATGGCCATTCTGGAAGGAGCCCCCCGAGTCCCCATGGCCCTCCTCCTGGCGGTCCACCACGCGGCACTTCACGGCGTCCTGGACCTGAGGGCGAAGAGCAAGCTGGTCAGCGTCTCTCCTGAACGTCCTCTCTGGTGCCTTGCGTGGCCC